CATATAGTCACATTCAAACGTAACAGTCTAGCATAAAATTATACATTTTATTTTTATTTCACATGAACATATTACGGGTACAAGATGTTAAAAATTAATCAGGTAACTAGATGATCATAACATGATTTTACACAACATTTTTTTCTCATTACTCATTAGACTCTATCGATATGTCATAAAATTAGACAAAACAGCAAAAGTTTACTTGAAAACATTTTAGCTACAAAGTATTATAAAATAAAATTTAACGATTCACATGTAATTTTGACTCCCATAATAACATAAGAACGGAAAAGGAAACTCTAATAACTGAGAGTTGCACCACACAAGAGTATACTTAATTTTAAAATAGAGAAAAGTAAAGAGACTGAATCAAATATATTTTTCTGTTACAACATAAGAGCAAACATTATGAGTCCTTAATAAAGGTTGTATTCTACTTCTGTAACATTAACTAATATAACTAATAATTAAACAATACATAACGTTAACTTCTTTAACAGCAGTTAAGCCATTAGGCCTAAAATAAAGTGTAGGTGTGCCACTATTTTCGAATGTGCAATGAAAAAGTAACACTTAGAATAGGCACAAGCAAGCTCGTTTACCATATTCTCCCATAAAAAAATAGTTGTGACATTAATTGAGACCTATTGGACTCATATGAGCTGTCACACTGATAAGAACAGATACTACACAAGTTCATAGCCAAAAGGCCGAGAAGGTATGACCTACTTCAGTTAATTACTTTTTCTTACCTAAATGTCTACATATATATTACTCCAATTTTTATTTATTTCTTTTTTTACTCTGTTTTTCAATATTTTGTATGTGTAATTAATTTTTTACATAAGAACTTATGTATTTTTTAACACCACTTATGTTTTATATTCTTTAATATTTTTCCGTATGTTACCATATATGCTAAAACGTAACGTATATTATATATAACTCTCCTATCTATTATGTAACATATAATATATAACATATAATTAACGCAACATAATATTCATAGAATGTAACGTATATTATATTTTATAATTA